CAATTGGTATTAACACAGCAGGAACGCTAACAATTGTATTAATGCATGTGCTAGAGTGTATAATTTATAGATTTATAGCCCGTGCTCAAATATTTTTTTGCAAAAACGGTTTAAATTTAAAGGGTTCGGGTTCGGTTTCTAGAGTGACTTTTAAAAATATTATGGGTTCGGTTACGGTTCCGGTCCACGAATAAATACCGGTTCCTGTCCGGTTTTCTGTCCAAAAACGGTCCGGTCCGGGTCCCTGATCCAACCCAGTAAGCACCAAACACTCGGCAAACATATGTATAGATATCTCACGGCTGCTTACGCACGCGAGCTAACTATAAATAGCGATTGCAATTGGTTTCAATATTCAATAGTTGGAAGTGTGCGTCCGTAATGGCATAGCTAAACATTAATTAATCTGTTCAGTAACGAATAATGTCTAGCTAGTCGAGTGTGTTAAAGAAGTATCTTGCCATTCAGAGAATTTCAGGACTGAACTTAGGGATATACCTCTCCAGGACGTCTGTAGGCTTTTTTTGAATGGCCAGGTGGGGGTGGCCGCCACTCGGCCAACTATACACAGCCGACACTCGGCTGAGTAAATATAGCCGACATTCGGCCAGGCGGATATGCCCGAAAGTTGGCCAGGCGGACATGCCCGTTCCATAAAACGGCGTGTATACACGCCGGGAGAAATACTTAATATTTCTCCAGACACAATTGTGCTAGCTTGTGCTTCCTGAGCAATTTGATTATTTAATTTAATTTAATTTATGCATAATTTAATTATTGCATAATCATTTAATAATTATTGTTGGCCCTAGCGATTGCACAAAAAACATAGGAAACTTTTCCAAAGGTGAAAGGGCAAATAGTTTTTAATCAACTTCAATTCAGAGAAAGTCCGTTCAGCTTTCGCAGTAGTGACAGCTGTCCCTAGGGACAGTTATCAACAACAGAAGTGTAGTGCACACATCCGGATAACTGGACGACAATGACGCATTCTGAATGATCAAGAAAGGGGCTAACTCTTTGACATCTTTCATTGAACTCTTTCGAAAAAGTCAACCGTACAACTGAGCTTAAAATACCCCATAGAGACCCTGTTCAAACCGATAGATATTTGTATCGGAATTTATGGTGTTTCTATAGGGTGTATAGGACGCATAGTTCGGATTGATGGTTGTTCTATAGGGATATCCACCCTTACACATAAATGTAGAAATTAGTTTTTCCCCCATAGGACACCATAGGTTTTAATAAAATTTTATCAAATGTTTTATGGTTGTTCTATAGGAATATCCCTATATATCCTTCATTGAGTTATTTGCTATCGGTCTCAAAAAACATGGATAAATGCACATATTGAATCTGGTAGCGCCCGATAGATTATTTTGTATAGGTCTCTATGGGGTATTCTACACCGAGAAAAATAATTTAAGACCATCTTTAAGATTCTTAATAACCTTATTTAAGATATCGCAGTAAAATAGGGGACATTAAGACCGTTTAAATACCATTAATAGATTCAATTTAATAACTATACTTTGTGACCATCAATAGGCAAACTTAATACAATTATCATAAGACCATCAAAAGTTTTTATATCGACCATTAATATATATCTTATAAGGGTTAATATATTATTTTAGGATCATCTTAATATCACTTAAATATCTTCTTATGACATCTTAATATGATCTCAAATTGGTACATATATGGCAAATAAATAATCTTATAATGGTAAATATATTATTTTATGATCATCTTAATTCCATCCTAATATCCTCTTATGCTATCTTAATATGATCCTAAATATATTTATTTGCCATAATAATATGCTATAGCTATCATATTAAGATGGCCTATTTACGGCAATAGTTTAATTTTATTATAAATGGAGCTGCACCATGGTATAAATAAACGAAAATAAATCTTAAAAGCATTATTTCTACTAAAAGTAAAGTCTTGAAAATAAAATAAAGCCCCAACGCGAAAAAATGCATTAAAAGGTTGGATTTTTATTTGAGTACTTGAACATAATTTTGGCATTCATTTTTATTTTATTTAAAAAAATCATTAACACCATTATTTTCATCAATTGGAGCACTCTAACCTAAATGTTTATAAAAAAATCAGAAAAACATATCGCAATTAGCATAAATTAATGCTTTTCTTATTTTTTTAGGAAATAAAATAGAGATAAATACCGAAATTATTTTTACTAGACGACCTTATTAGTGCATTTTCTGCGTTGGGACTTTATTTTCATTTTCAAGACTTCACCCAGGTAGCACACTGACGTTTATATGACGTTGAAATGACTTTGGCAGCGTCATTTTAACGTCAGCATACGTCAGTGTGCTACCTGGGTACTTTTAGTAGAAATATTAATTAATAATACTTTTAAGGATTATTTCCATTTACCCTAAAAAGAAAGATAACAATTGAACTTTAAAAAAATTAAACTATTTCAGCAGATAGGCCATCTTAAAATTATAACTTTATACATGTAGGTATAATTAAATAATAAATTAAGGAATCAAAGCCAATATTCTGACCTATTAAAAATCTTGGTAATCTTTCTCAAGCTGGTTTATTTATAAATATGGTACCTAATAATAATAAATTGTAAACATTTTACCAAAAATATATTTCAGATTTTACCAATATCCTATAAAATAAACTTCAAAGCATACATTTATAAAAGTATCATCAACATATTAAATACAGCATGAATTTTTTAAATGTTTAATGCAGGGACCCCGGAAACTAGAAAGAAATTGAACCTACCTTCAAATCCTTTAACAAAATCACTGAGCCCCCATTCAAGCAGAGTAACTTTGAAAGCCATTACTATGTTCTGTAAAATTACCGCAAAACAATTGTGAAGAAACGCCCTTTTTTTTCTATAAACGATTCAATATTACCTTCAAATCCTTTAACAAAATCACTGAGCCCCCATTCAAGCAGAGTAACTTTGAAAGCCATTACTATGTTCTGTAAAATTACCGCAAAACAATTGTGAAGAAACGCCCTTTTTTTTCTATAAACGATTCAATATTATCCTCAATTTCCCGTTAACAAGTGAGAAATAATAAATGACGCTTCCACAGAGGACGCTGTTCTGTGCTATGGACGCTAGTTAAACGATTGGTCGATTCGAGTATAGTCGGAAAGCCGAATCTGTTAGTTAGGTAGATGAGTTTGTTAAGGCCATTATACAACTTCTTAAGGTCTTTAGATAATTTAAGGTGGTTCACAATCTTATGTTATGTGTTCATAATTGACTAGTAATGGTTATTAAGACAAGTTTTAATAAGGTCGTCTATTAACCATATTTAGTTATTTATCACTGGCATTAAAATAATTTTAAGAACAGCGACATATTAATCCGAGTTTATGGTGGTATTTAGATATTTTATGATTGTTAAAATATAAATATAGATGATCTATATTTTTTGTTTTAACACTTTATTAAAACGTATCTATTAGTCACCTTAATTCGTCTTCATGTCACAGATAGATAATTTGTACTGGTTATTAGATATATTTTGAACACTATAGAAAATTCCAATCTTAAATTATCTTAATGAAATTATCTACATATATGTAGATAATTTCATTAAGATAATTTAAGATTGGAATTTTCTCAGTGTAAGCAGGGTACAACATAAAGTTTATATATAAACTAATAAACCTATAGGTATATGCTCCGCGGCATTCGAAAATAACAAGGAAGTCAGGTATAATGTAAAGTCACGTGATTACAAAAATATATACCATATCCAATTGGATATGGTATAAAGTATACACCCTAGGATATACACTCTCATTTCGAACGCACTCCTGTAGATAGGTACTGGCGCGGAAAATTTGAAATCTTTTGTTAACATTAGGTCGGACTAGCAAAATTTAGAAGAGTTTTTTTTTAGCTATAGCTCAACTAGGTAATATGTTTTTCAAGCATATCCAAAGTACACTCCATCGCCCTCTTATCTTAAGATTTTTCTATACATGAAGTCAACTTTATCTAATATATATATATTTTTTTATATATATATATATATATATATATAGCTCATATGAGCTTGACTATGGAGCCTACACAAGGAGCCTGAAAAAGGGGAAATTAACAAAACCCAAAACCTGCCCTCGAAATCAGGTTATTAATAGAGGTTATTAATATATGATCTAAATCACACAAATTCCCACACAGCACATATATCCATTGGACGTCCAGCGGACGACCATTGTACTTACATCCAAACGTCCAATGTAAGTCCATTTGACGTCCACTGGACATATTGTGCTGTATGGGTTAAGTCTTTTTTTTTCACCACCAGCGGCGCTGATTGGCGGCGCTGATTGGCGATGCGTATTGACGTTTGTTATTTTGGTAGCGTTTCGGTACAAATTAAACAATTTAATAATAAACGGAACACCAGCGCCCTCTTATCTTAGAAAGATTTTTGTATACATGAAGTTCGGACTCCATCCGCTTGACCATGGAGCCTACACAAGGAGTCCGAACTTCCTAAGATAAGAGGGCGCTGGTGTTCCGTTTATTCTGAAACAATTGACTTATTTCAAATAAGTTATTTGTACCGAAACGCTACAAAAAGAGCAGACGTCAGTACTCATCGACAATCAGCGCCGCTGGTGGTGAAAAAAAAACTTAATTTGTGCAATTTAAGCCTAATTTATAGATTGCCTTCCTTCCTTTCTTCGTTCCTCCCGTAGAAGATGAACAATACAAAAACCGTTGTGCTCTTTAGAGATTCCCGTACGGGAATCTATAAATTTCGCTACGATTTTCGTATTGTTCATCTTTTACGGGAGGAGGGAAGGAAGGAAGGCAATCTATAAATCAGGGTTTAGAGGGCAGGTTTCTTCAATTTTCGGACTCCATGCGCTTGACTTTGAAAACCCCACAAAAATATCAAATCTGGCGGGTTTTAGTGGATTATTAGAAGTTGGTTGCGGAACAACTTTTAGACAGTTGGCAACACTGCGAATCGGAGTGCCAACTACGTTACCAATAAAATGTCCCTAATTAGTAAGATGGCGTTACAATGATGAATCAGAAATGATTTTTAAAGTAAAATAAATATGAATCCAGAAACTTAACAAATGTAAGCATTATCATGTACATACCATAGAAAATGCTTTGCTCTACCTTTCCAAACGCATTCTGCCTATTAGCATAATTGATATAAATTAATATGAAGTAAATAAACAAAGAGTCATGGAGTCACCTCCTTCAAGTTCGATTTGGTCTGCTGAGGGCTTTATTTTAAGCGACGACAGTGGTCTACTATTAACTAATGGATCTGCTTCCAGTGGAAGCATAAGTGATAGTAGAGGTGGACGAAGAAATTTGCCATTTGAAGTAAGTCAAATGCATCGTTTTATTAAGAATTTAGGCAAGAGCTCAAAAGAAAGCCCTACATTTTTTATACCTATAACGTTTAAGTAATATATTATGTTTCTATATTATATAACTAGTTCTTCCACACATACTACATTTTTGACTTCATGTCTCTGTTAATATGAATATTTACATGAGTTTATCCTTTAAAAGTTGGACTTTTACACATAATCAAGCCAGTACTGATGTGTTTAAAGTTTTAGAGTGGTTTTAAATGTTATTGTGTATTTGAAATATTAAATTTATATTATAGTACTACTTGTAGGATTATATTTGCCTTCTCCCAATTTAAAACCTGATTGGTTCAAATCACAGTGAATATTGAAATTGGTCAATCACTGATGCCTTACAACATAAATAATGAGTTCATTATTCCTGTTGTTAGGCAGGGAATTCAAAATGTTTATAATGATTTATTATTTGGCAGTAAAATGACAATACTTAATTCTGAAAACAATTTTATTTAAAAACTTGTACTATTCATAAACAATTAAATTAATATACCTAATAGACAAAATTCTTTTAGATTGTTATTTTTATAAAATAAAATTCAGTCACTCGCGTTATATCCTGAGGGCTAACGATTTACCTTCTCTTAAACTTTTTATTATTTCTGCTTATTTAACAACTAAACTACTCTTAAATAACAAAAATAGATCAAGGTTAAACATATAAAAATGTATACAAATATTAATCTTTTTTCATACATTTGGTTTAAAAAATAAACAACAAAAGCTGTGATAACAAATAAATAAAGTCGTTGCTTAAAAACAAGATGCAGACTCTGCAGTAGAGCCTACCATATACTTTAATTTGTGATTTTCCTTACCATGTCCGCATTTTTATGGAATGTCCCATAATAGTTATTTACTTGTCAATCTTTGTAAATGAATCTTGACGGGCGATCTGGAAGTTTGTTGGGTTGGGTTGGTTTTAAAATTAATGATATATATTTAAAGAGCACTTTATAACTTTATATTTTTTTGGGACTGATCCCCGGGGTCCCGGGATTAGTTACCTTAGGTCCCGGAAGTCCCGGGATTGGAAAAAGGGTTCGGGATTGACATCCCTAGCAGGTACCATATAGCGGATGGCTGCATGTACTAATATTTCTTCAAACTTCACCCATCCATCGTGGAAATCGTTCGTAAATTAATTAATCTATTGTAGACGTATTTTTGCGCTTTGATTCCGATTTCGTCCCTCCACGTTCGCAAGTCCAAAACCCGATTCTTCGTTTACTTGGATACAAAAACAACAAAATTAACCTTTAAAATGTCATTAACTAAGAAGGTGAAAATAAATATATTTTTTCTACTCCCACCTTTAAAACGCCCTTTATCGTACATGTTTCCATGACACTAAGTGAGCTTTTAAATACACATTGACAAGTTGTGGCTTTATGGCGCTTTAGTCACGGGCTGAAGTTAGCAAAAGGTTTTTAGTCACGGGCTGAAGTTAGTTGACAGTTGTCGAATGTCATACAATCGTTAAAATAAAGTGCCTTTCTTGTAAATAATACTAAATGTGAAAATTATTTTATTATCTCAATACAAAAATACAAAAGTATTAAATATTTTCTCAACGCCAATATTTGAAAAGTTTATATGAACATTGTACTGACCTTTAAATTTCGCCGGCAGTAAACTATAACTTAAATTCGGTCACTGAAAAATTGTCAATTTTTATACAAATTTTTGATTTAAATCATTTTAAGATAATATTAAGTATTTTTCGTAGAAAAAGTATAGTATGCACCTCGTTTATAAACTTTTCTATACGCTCATTAATTTAAGCACTTGCTCGCAAGCTCGCTCGTGCCTAAATTAAATTCGTGTATAAAATGGCGTTTATCAAACTTATATAACATATAATACTATTTTTTACTCCTATTTCATATTATAGACGTTATTTGTTTTTTTTTATATATTATGGTAACCAAATGGTTAGTGTTACTAGAGATAGGATTTTAGTGTTATTACGCTAATCATAACTGTAGGTGCAATGGAATAAAATAATTAAAATCTTAATTTTTATTTTGAAGAGAAAGGGACCTAATTTTTACATTTTACTACCCAAACTATTGTTATTTTACCTATTTTCCCTAAATTTTTATTTTAAAAGAAATTAACCAAATTTTCAAATTTTTCAAGCAAAAACATGCTTTTTTTTTGTAATATTGGGGTTGATTTGGTCCAAATCATTTGGATAACATAATTCTTATGCACCATGTAGTTAATTTTGTTGTAAAGGACTGGTAATGTGGTTGGTAATCGCGAACAGAGACGCGAATGTGACATTCCTGTGCAATGTTGCCAGATCTCTTGCTTTTAAATAAGATCTTGAGTTTTTCCAATCAATTTCATGTTATCATGTTTTATTTATAATATGTACATATATTTATAGTATGAGTATGAGTATAAGAGACGTATAACCGGCCCCATTGTTGCATCGCTCCCGGGCCCCGCATAGGCCTCTGTTACCTTGCGCCGTTTTTCTTTCGCCACCAGCAACGGCACGGCTTCACCCGTGTTTGCTGGTTGCGAATGTCCATTGCGTCCCGTACTGTCCCCTAATTACGGCACGAGAGCGAAATGCCAATAGTTTTTATAGCCATTCCCGGATTCGCCGGGCCGATGCTATACGACCAGTAGGGTCATGAAGGAGGTAGACCAGGCAGTTGATATTACTCCAAACATTTGGGATTACTTTATGGAGTTTGGGAGTTATTATTTTGCTGTAGGAGCCTACGTCTTGGTCTACGTTTTTGTCGTTATTGTTCGTGTCCGTGCCCAAGTAGGATTGTTCCTGCACATGTCGCCGGGTCGGGCCGTGTCTGCTGAAAATTATCGGCACGTCGTTGTCTGCCTCACTGTGCGAAGAAATTCTTCAGTCATGATGCCGAAAACCATCAATAGATAGTTCAGTAGTCGGCCATGTAACTTGTTTATTACCGAAGTAGTGCGAAATTTCCAACAATTTCTAGTTATTGTGTTGCCCAAGCACGTTTTGTGTTAGATTGTATTTTGTCTTTTTTTTCTTAATTTCCAAAATTAAGTATTGCATTTATTTATTACTTAAGCAAATGGCAAGCGCAATTATTCTGTTATACTGTTTTATTGTTTTTGTTCGCAGAAAACTGTTTATTGTTTATGTTAGTCGGTCAGTAATTGGTTTGATGTGTTACATACTTAAGATTTGTGGGTTTATTCCTATCTCCGTGTTGAACAGTTGGTGTTCAATTTATGCGATTAGGCAGTTCCCAGTGGGGGGTATTTTTTTTACTTTTAGTGTATAATCTAATGTGTTTACAAAATCCATTAGAGTTAGATTAGTGTGATGTTTTTACTATGTTTGGGTTTTCTTGATTTATTGAGTGTTAGTTTATGTTCTAGGTGTCAAATGTTTATTATTGGTCTCGTTTGGGTTAAAATTAAACTTTGTTTTGTTGGAGCCGTTCTTTAAGTTACTGGGTTTCTTGCCTTACGCATTTGTCGTTGAAAGATTTATTGTCCTACTCAGCTTTGGTGCATGACCGCGATAGGTTCGAATGGGAAGTTTTGTTTTTTTTTGTTTTGTTAGTATTGTCTTTCTAATGTTTCTCTTGTTCCTGATGTTTATTGTTTTAGCAGTTTAAGCAGTGTGCCTCTCTTAGGGTTTTAAAGGTATCTGTCGTGTTTAAAATATGTTAGGTCATGCATATGGTTGAGGATAATTATAAATTTTTGTGGATGGCCTCTTCTCTTGTTTGATCTCTTTTGTTTGTCCAGTGAAAAGCGTCCAATGACAAGCTGACACTTGTCACTTTATTCTTTCTTATTACTTAACACTTCACTCTTTATTGACCGTTACACTATTAGTTTGCACTTTATGATTTGAATTAGTGACTTATTCGCCCTATTCTCCAGAATTGGCTCCCAGTAGTACAGAGTACCATCTATTTCCAAATCTGAAAAAATGGCTGGGCGGTAAGAGATTTTTTTTAATTCCGAGGTAATCGATACTGTAAATAGCTTTTTCGAGGATTTGGATTCATCGACCTACAAGGAAGGCATTGCTAATTTGGAATATCGTTGGAATAAGTGTGTTAAGCGAGCTGGAGACTATATTGAAAAATGTAATGTTTTTTATCTAAAAAACTTGCGTTTTCTTTGTTAGGCCACGCAGTTATAGAACGATCCTTGATGATGTCGACAAACCGGTTTTTGCATTTGAAATTGATGACGCAACGGACATTGGCCGCGGCGACTATATTATCAACTATTTTTAGAAAAAAAATACGTTTTTATTTTTTTCAGTGGAAATTATGAGTTAGAATAACTACCACAAGGAATAGAGTAATTGCATCAAAAATGAAAATCCCTAAAAACCTTTTTAATGTAATCTAGAGGTAAAAACACATTGCGAAAATATTTTTTTATATTCCAAAAGTTCAACCTGGCCCCAAAATATCAAATTGAAAAAAAGGTACTTTTCAAACGTTCCCGAACTCCCGCCATATTGCATGACGTCATAAACCTTCACCAGTGTCAGAAATCAAGATGTCAACAAATAATAAACACCGATAAAGTTTATGTTTAACATGGAAAACGCGAAAACAAAAATTGATTGTAAATATTGTTTTGTGCCTTGTTGTGCAAATACAACCTGGAAAACTCCTGGGAAAAGGTTTATCACCGGGCCAAAAGGGAAAATAAGGATAAAGTGGATTAAAATAGCTCGGCGCGATATCAAAATATCGTCACCGCATTCAACATTGCTGCGAGGATCATTTTAATGTAAGTAAAATATAATGTCGTTTACTAGGTATGTGGTTGGAATAGGTATGTTAAATAATAGTAAACTCAAGAAAATACGGCTTAGCCGTAACGGCTCTCAGTGTAGGGTCATAAACTTTGCTTTTGATAATTGAAGGGACAACTTTCCCATACCATACCAGTTTTCTAGGTTGTATTTGTACA